AAGAGGAATCGACACAAAACAGGACGGAACCTGCATAGATTTACTGAGCGTTTACGTTTTATTGGTAAATAATGAAACACACAAACAAATAAGTAATTTTATTTGTATATGTAGTAATATGTACGAGTAGTTACATGTAAATAACATCTTAAATAACATCTTAAATAATATATAAAATACTTAAAACTATGCTAATTTCTTTTAAAAATAAAACATTATTGTTAGTAAAATTATAAATAATAAACTTTTACAAACAAAAGTAGTAATTAATGTGTTTGTAATTACGTAGAATATTTAAAACAGTCTATTTTAAACGTTATTTATATCCCCATGGATACGTATCCGTTGTTAAAGTATTTATTATTCTCTTGTCATCATATGGCCTAAGTGCGACCTTTCTTTGTTTTACTGTATAAACGTTATGTTTTTTAGAAATAATTAAATTTTGATTGGTCTCTATGATTTGATTATAGAATAAACATTTATAATAATCATCAAAAGTGATTCCTCTAATTGTTGCCTTTGTTATTCCTTTAATTTTTCTCGTAATATCTGCATTTTCTTTGTTAAAAAGTCTGATTGCATACATTTTCGATCTGAGTCCAATGAATTCAGAAAAGATTTTACCATTGTTTTCATCTTTCATTAAACCCGTTACTTTTTTATTTGATAAAGGTATATTGTATTCATTATCTTGTGAAATGTCTGATGTATCAAATTTATGTATATCACATTTAATGTGATGGTATATACCATCGACAAAGAATTGATATATGAGTGAATCTGTGTCAGTATAGAGAGTTTAGCAGTATTAGAAAATTTATTTTGAATGTAATTATAATGAAAGTCATACAGTACAGTTTTTGAAATGTCAAGAATACAAAATCTCTTCTCTCATTGCACGCTTCCATCCTTCATCTTTCAGAGCTTCAGAAATGGGAACATCTTCTACTTCTCCTATTATTGCTACGTTGACGTTTCTGTTGTAGAAATCATGAACATAATCCTTCAGTCTTTCTGGCTTCAGTATTTGGCTACGATCTCGCAGTCCTTCTCTTCTCTGACCTTGTACATTCACTTTCTGCATTGGCGTTTCTTCATTTTCGTCTTCAGTTATTTCACCTTCCAATTTTTCTTCAGTCTTTTCTTTTGTAGTTTGAGCTTGATCTGTCTCTTCATTCCTTTCTTCATTGTTTGGACTTGTTTCTGACGATTGAGTACTGGCTGACTTAAATGGCTTTCCTCCTGACTAGTATCCTCCTTCGCTGAAGATCACATTGTCCGAACAAATGACTTCTCTTTCTCCAGGGATGTAAATTCTATAATTCGAAGAGTGAAGATCATATCCAACAAAGATTCCTTTTCTTGACTTCCTGTCCAACTTCTTTCTAGACAGGCTCGTGTCTAGAACCCAACAATCACATCCAAAAATTCTTAATTTGTTGATATCAGTGCGACAACCGTACCACAAATCTGCTGGACTTATTCCTGCGACTGTACTTGTCCCAGTTTGGTTGATTGTAAACACTGCATAGTTTACTGCTTCTGCCCATAAATTATCCTTCAAGTTCTTCGCCTGTAAAACTTGCTGATTCCACAATTGTTCTCATTTCCCTTTCGATTCTACCATTTTGTTGTGGTGTGTGAATATTTGAGAAAGTGTGCCGAATTCCCAACTCCTCCAGAAGTTTGTGAGTGGTAGAGTTTTCAATCTCTTTGCCGTGATCAGACCTCAAGACTTTTACCTTTCTTCCGAATTGATTTTCAACTTCCTTCAAATAAATCCTAAGCTTGTCAGCTGCTTGATCCTTGGACTTCAGATAGTAGACGGTTCGAAAATGAGAGTAGTCATCCTTGAACATCAGAAAGTACTTCGCTCCTCCGATTGACCTTTCGTTCATTTCTCCAAGATCTACGTGAACTAAGTCCAATGGTTGAACAGCTGTTTTGACATTCTCAGGGTGTGTAACTCGGTGCTGCTTGCCCAAAGCACATGCGTTGCAAACTTGGTTGTTCCAGTCGTTTATAAACTTGATGTTATTTTTCTTCAAAATTTCCTTCACATACTTCAAGTTCTGATGTGCAAGCCTCTCATGCCAAGTGACAATTGAAGTTGCAATCAGATTGGTATTCTCAGTTGGTTGACGAAACATGACCTTGTATAAGTTTCCCTTACGTTGAGCCATCGACAAAACTGCTTGATTTTCCTTTGCCTTAATAATTGATATGTCCTTGTTACACTCTTCAGTGTGTCCTCGATCCATGATTTGACTGAGAGAAATCCAGTTGAAATTTAATCCAGGTACATAAAGTACATCTTCTATTGTAGCCAATTTCCATTCAACACCGTTGTAAGCTTCCAGTTCGATGTCTCCTACTGATGTAGCCTTGAGTTGACGAGAGTCTCCCATGGTCACTTTAATTGGCTGTTTCAGTTCTCTCATGTTGACAAACCAGTTTTTGTGCGATGTCATGTGTTGTGTGGCTCTACTGTCCTGGTACCAATTTTCATTAGCCCCTTGTTTTTGGCTCTTCAAATTAGTACTTGACAATCCAATGGCTACGTAAAGTTTACCTAACCGACCTCCGTATCTTCTATCACTCTTGCCTGGCCTCTCGTTGTCTGACTTGTCATCATTTCTCTTCAAACAGTCTCGGGCAAAATGTCCTTTTTGACCACAAACATTACAAGGATAATTTTCTTTGCAGTAGGCTAAATACTTTGCACACGGTTTGTTTGTGCAACTTTTCTTCATGTGGCCTTTCTGTCCACATTTGAAACAAGTGACTGCAGAGCTCCCACTTTGTTTGTTTTGCTTCTAGTTACTGTGCTGTCTCGTCTTCTTTCTCTGCTGCATCATCAAAGCGTTTCCAGACGTTGACTCACTTGATCCTTCTTGTGCTTTGATTCTGTCTTCTTCGAGTCTCAGCTTCTCGATGAAGTTTGGTATTGTTCGCTGATTTCCTGCTACGTTGTCCCAAGATGTACGAAAATGGTACAGATGAGGTGGCAAAATTGATAACATTCGAGTCATTGCCCATTGTTCATAATTGTTTCCATTCAAAGAGGTTAAATCTACGGCGAGTTGCAGTATGTCATTGCAATTTGCAACAGCTGATTTGGAGTTGTCAAATGAGTAGCTGAAAAATTTGCGTTGCAGACCTTCGATCTCGTAATCTGACTTTTTGCCATACAAGTTTTGCAGTTTTCCATACATTTCAAATGCCGTTGTACAACTCAAAATCTTCTTCGAAATAGCTTTACTAACATTTATGCCAATGACGGTTTGAGCCTCAATGTCTTTTTCAACCCATTCAATTACATCTTTTTCATCGACTTTACCTGCAGGTTTTGACTTTGCACCAGTTACATACTCATAAATTTTCTTTGACTTTAGCGTTAAATCAATTTTAAATTGCCAAGCTTCAAAATCTACTTCACCGTCTTGATCTTCTGACAACATTTCAATATTTGACTTTGTTGATTGCTCCATTTTGAAATTTAATCAAACCGAATTTTGACAACACTACTCACAACTTGATTCTTCGCTGACGACGACTTGGCTGGAACACAGTGCTGAATTGACTAACTTGTTATTTTGCTTGATAATTTGGCGTGTCTGAATTTTGAGTATGATCTGGGCCCATAACCTGTTAGTTTTTAATTGCCAAATAACAAGTCAGGTTGTAGTTTTAACAGACGTCCTTGTATTAACTGTTTTACAATCAACAGTAATCCCAAAATATTTTTAATTGTAAATTCACCAAAAAACTGACGAATTTCACAGACAGTTTCTTTTGAAAATATTTTCGCAGACACTTTGTTCACTAAAGTTAACACGCAATTATTTACATACTATCTAGATTAACAGAAAATAAATATTACAAAAAATAATTAATCACAACATTTTTTTATCAAAAAGTGTTAACAGTTTAGGTGTCTTTGAGCTAGATATAGGTGGGACTAAATGTTCAGGAAGTAACGGTAAATCTTTGTGTGTTTCGTGTAATGCATCTGGATAATGTATATCGACTTCAAATATGTAACCGTATTCATTATTATCATTAATGTCATCAATATTAATTGAGTAAATTTCATGGACCCATTTAAATTTTCCTTCAGGTAGTGGAAAACTCATTGCATAACCATACAAATTGTTTACGTCGTAATACATTAAATATGATGTAGGTTCGTTAGGATTAAATTCATCTACCATATACTTATTGTTTGCTTTTCCGTAACGATTACAACATTGTGATATTCCACCTCTTATACCTCGTTCTATAAACATTATCATATCTATATTATAGTGACCCTTATTTGTATTTGCCGCCATGACGTCGTATCCATTCGGTGTGATTCGCCCCAACCCGGATATAGAGAGACCACCCTAGTATAGTTTGGTTGAACCCGTCGAGAAGGTGTGCATTGACATTTATATTTTGGTTACCCTTCTTTATTCTGTTAAACCTTGTTAGTTATATCCTAAATTAAGTGTTTCAAGTATTATAAATAAACAAGTTGCGGTTCGTGGAGCCCGGTGTTTTATTTATTGTGGTATAACAGGGGTTGTGATTGACCCAAGGAATTAGTCGAGAAAGTTAGCGACTAAAAGTGGCGCCCAACGTGGGGCTCGAAACAAAACGTCTGTCAAAGTGTTTTATGCAGTTAGTTAGCCAGAAAATATGGAAATTGTTAAACTGTTGTGATTTGAATCGTGAGGATACGCCCTTCATTTGACGCGTGGTGCAGTTCTAGTAACTTTTGTTGCGGTTAAGTTTAAGTTGGTACTGTCAATTGTCATCTGACAAATTAATCGAAACTGTCAAGCGTGTTTACTTTTTTGACAGTAATAAACATATAGGTTATGTCATTGAAATCTAAATAGTGGAACTATATGTACAATTTGCGACCACGGAAGGTTGTTGCGATACAGGAAGGACGGTATAATTTACGTACTCGAAAAACTGTGGCATTGGAACCCGTTGGCGACTTAGAAATGAATCTAGAAAATGATAACCCGAATGCTGGTGCTGGACCAGTACCACCTGTTCCTGGTAATATTACTTTGACTGCTGATCAGTTCGCACAGCTGTTACAAGGTTTGCGACAGCCACCAGTTGTGGAAGTCCCACCAATGATAGCTCAGGTAGGGAATTTTTCAAGGTGTAATTCGCGTTTTTCCGGTGAGAAATCAGATAACGTTGATGCGTTTATTGATGCTATTACGGTATATAAGAACTGCCTTAACGTTTCGGACGCGAATGGTCTTCTTGGATTACCGATGTTATTGGACGGACCGGCAGCTACTTATTGGCAAGGAGCGAAAAGTTCGGTTAGAACGTGGAACGAGGCTCTCGAATCNTAATACCAACTGATCATATTTTAGGGTAAGAAGAACCGTTAGCTCCCTAAATTTTAAGAACAGAAAATTGGTTTCTATATCCCAAAAGATGTGAGTGAGGTTCTTTGGCATTAGCGCGTCTTCACTTGCTTAAAGTTACCAGTGCAAACTGAGAAGACCAGGATAAATAATTTCAGGGCAAAAGTACTGATGGCTCTATTAACAATTGATGGTAGTAAATTGGCCTCCATACTGTATTTTAAAAGATGTCAGTGAGGTTCTTTGGCACTTGCTCAAAGTAAAGCAGCAGTGAAAACTGAGAAGACTGAAATGAATCGAATTTTATCAGTTTATTATTCCTTCACGTTTTGAAGTTTGGACTGACAGTTTAGGAAGGTTAATAGCTAATACTAATAATATGTACTTATTCTATCATCATCATAAGGTCATCAGGCACCTCCAATCTTTCATATCCTGGCCTAATCTTCGCATTTTCCTAAACCTACAATAACCCACATCCTTCAGTGTTTGCGAACAGTAATGTAATCTAGGTCTACCTCTACCCCTCCTTACTCCCGCTTCTTCCTCCAATATGTCTCTGACAAGACCTTCATGCCTGAGAAGGTGTCCTACTAACCTATCTCGCCTATTTCTTATTGACTTCCATAGAGTCCTCTGTTTTCCTATTCTTCCTAACACCTCTTCATTTCTAACCTTCTCTATCCACGGTATCCTCATCATTCGCCTATAACACCACATTTCGAAGGCTTCTAACCTTTTCTTTTCCGCCGCGCCCACTGTCCATGTTTCGCACCCTTACAGCGCCGCGTTACAAATATACACCTTTAACAATCTTTTTTGAATTTTTAAATTAGTCGTTCTCTAGTATAGAAGTGACTTTTTTTTATTAAGGATGACTCGCGACCCTCCGCTATCTTCTGCCTTATATTCCTGTTACATCTTTCGTCCTGATTTACCTGACTTCCCAAGATCCTAAAATCGGCATCTTCTTCTCTTTATATTTGCTCTTTCTCTACTCTTTCTTCCCTTGCATACTAGTAAGTACTTCTGTTTTACTTTTATTTGTTTTCATTCAGTACTGCGTTGCCAGTACCGCTTCCATTTTATTTAAAGCTGTCTCTAGGTCCTCCTTGCTGGTTGCTAATACTGCTATATCATCATCAAATAATCTAAGCTTACTAATCGTTTGCCCCTGTAGGTATATCTATTCCTACAGTTGTACTGTTTTTAATGAACCTAACCTATTCTATAGAATTTTTATTTTGAAGACGTACGTAGTTATAATAGTCGGGCTTGTTAATATTGATTGTAATCAGCGTTGACGTGTGCGTCTGTGTGTGTACGTGCAAAATTGCTCTATTTCTCTTATCTGTCAGCAAACACGGTGACATTTTCAGGGTCAGCTAAACGTTTTTATTAATAACGTAGTTATTTTGTAACTACGGTACACACTTACAGACTGTTTCAAATGGAAAACAATAAGTTCAAGGATTTTATTGAAAGAAAATCTACGACCTCTAGGCATATATTGAAAAGAATTTCAAAATATTGTTATACACATAAATATTTTTCTACCAGTCTAATCATATTATCTTCCCGTATTCCTTGCTTTACAACAGTGGCGTAGCGTGGGGGTGGGGCAAAGGGAAGCCATGGGCCCCGGGCGGCACAAAGGTAGGGACTGCAAAAATATTTTTTTCGGTATTAGATAGAATAAGGTCCGTCTCGCAGTAATGTTAGATGCCCCAATTTAGTAGAATTTGTATCAATTTTTAATAATTTGTATCATGTAACAAGCATTACCGTTTAGGTTCGTAAACTCACAATTATCGAATCTTTAAAACATTGCAAAAGTATAGAAAGATTACATTTGCTCCTAGCGACAATACAATACTGACTATCTGGATCGTGATGGTATACTTTATTTGAACATCAGAAATCTTTACAATTCTCCCTAAATCCTGAGATGAATCCTCAAAATAAATCCGCTTGCTATCCTGAATTATGTATGCAAATAAAGTAGGTAAGTTATGTGAGACTTCTGCAAATGCGCATGCTTAATTTTACGTTTGTTCTTATTAAGTGTGGTAAATTAACACATTTTGAATTGAAATTAATGATATTGTTGTAATTTACAAATCTTGTATCATATGGAAAAATGCATTTTTTTTAGTAATTTTAACCACCCTTGTCAGCAAAGTAAGCAAAGGTCTTACCCCCCCCCCTCCATGCTTACGTAAACATGGGTACCTGCACATTTTCTTAAAATCTTTTTAACTTAAACTTAAAACACCTCGTGAGGGCGAGTTAGTATTATCAATTATTTTGGGGAATCCCTGAACATGCGTTTTGCTTTCGAACGTAGACAAGTGGAGTTGTCATATTTGTTCAAAGCAGAATCTACCAAATTGTGTAAAAAAAATCATAAAAATATACAAAAAAATAATTATCTAACATAATTATCAACCAGACCCCCGTCCCCATATCATAAAAAATAACCGAAGAAAATAGGAAGGGCGTCAAATTTAGTCTTCGCCTCGGGTAGCGGAAATGTACGCTACGCAGCTGGTTTACAGTTTATTCCACAGGTCTTCAAATCTAGACAAGTTTTGTAATCAACTATATGCGAATTAACAGAGCTAGAGCCCCCCGTATGTCGAATATGACGGTAATCTTCAACATCAACATTTATATGGAATTTAGTAAACAAATACATACAAACAAACAGCTAGGCGTATACTATCTCTTTAGGATTGAAAATTTGTTTTTAGAACGATGCCCGATGCGTAAGTCAAAATTTACATCCACAATCCTGAGAATCAGTGTGTAAGTCTGATTTAGCTATAGGTCAGGTCACAGTCAGATCACACTCAAGTAAAACATAATACATTTTGCGTGGCAATAGTCACCCAATAAGAAACGGTCAAGTCATAGTCCGGTCAATTGACTAACGATCTCTAACGATCTTTTGATTTGACTGGACCGTTGATTTGAAATCGAAAGTGTGACGCAGTTCGGTCCGATCACAGTCAAAACATCGTACTTTGTACTATATTTTACTTCTTTTTTTATATATAAACGTAATTAATAAAAAAAATATTTGTAATGCTTTATCATAAAACTGTACAGTTGTTTTTATGTACTTACCTACACTTCAAAACGATTAATTGAAACATTTGCTGAGTTTTATGATAAATGATTCTGAAGCACTAACGATAAGTATGAATTTTTTATTTTCTTCGCCTAATACAAGTAAGTGCCACAATAGTCAATTTCTTTTCTGTCTGCTTATGTACTGTACTCTGGCTGTGACCGTACGGCATAATGTGAACGGTGGCATATTTCGTCTGACCGTCACTGAACCGTGATCGGACCGTGACCAGATTTATAGTTTGAACCGGGCTTAAGAGTTATCATTATCATCATAAGGTCGTCACTCCTAAGACAAGTTGGCGTATCAGGCGTTTTGATCCCTCGACAAAATGCCCCCGGACAAAATATCCCTGACAAAATATCCCTGGACAAAATATCCTCGTGACAAAATATCCCTGGACAAAATATCCCCGTGACAAAATATCCCTAGACAAAATATCCCCGTGACAATTATCTCTAGACTAAATATCACCGAACAAACGCCCCGATAATAAATTATCGAACAGATACTCCAATAAATAATATAAAATTCATATACTTCATTTCATATATTTATTTGTATTTATTTAATAATAATAACGTTTGATTGTCAGTAATATATAAGTCATTAAATCGATAGGGTTAGGTTAGGTTGCGCTGGATTGACGGGTTGGATTGTATTATGTTTGATCATGTGAGGTGTGGTTGGTAAGGAAGGGAACGTACGGCAAGGTAGCATGGCGCAAGTTTGACAGGGTTAGGTTAGGTTAGGTTAGGTTAGGTTGCGCTAGATTTACTTGGGTTGGATTGTATTATGTTTGATCATATGAGGTGTGGTTGGTAAGGAAGGAAACGTACGGCAAGGTAGCATGGCGCAAGTTTGACAGGGTTAGGTTAGGTTAGGTTAGGTTAGGTTGCGCTAGATTGACTTGGGTTGGATTGTATTATGTTTTATCA